TCTCTGAATAAGGGGCCTCTGCTAGGGTGGAGGGGCCCTTGGGAGACCTACCCCCAGCCCAGGGGAAATGCAGACTTCAACCCACTGTCTTGGTGAGCAAAGGCCCCAGTGCTGTCCCTTGACATTTTCTTGTCCTCGGGTCTGGGTGAAGATGGTCTGGAGTGTGTCGCTGCCTTACCTTGCTTCTCCCTGGGCCTCTCACAAACCTGCCCAGCTACTCGGAGCCTATCTTCCACCCCCTCCCAGAAACAGTGCTGTAAAAAGAAAAAAGGGGGATGTTAGAGAGAAAGGAGGAAATAAAGTCTTTGGAAAGCAGAGAGTTTTACAACAGCCACAGGTTTTATGGAAGCAATTTCGTAATAACCTTCTACCTGCTCAGCTCCTTTCCGCCCAGCCTGCCGCCCACCCCGTTTGGCCTCCTGGATGCTCCCTCCCAAAAAGTCGGCCTCCCCCCACCTTCCAGATCCCTGATGGCTGTGAGTTGGTAAGAGGATTCTGAGGCCTGCCTGAGCCGCTGACCTCTAAGTCCTTCCTTTCACCTCTGACATCCTGGGAGGGAGGTTGGGCAGAAGATTTCGTTACTTTACAGTTAAAATCCTCAATTGTAGGGTGTGGAAACACTGAGATTTGAACTCATGTGTGCAGATTCGATGTGACTTGTTTTGGAGGCTGTTTTGTATAAAGGGTGAAGGTTCTGGGGACCTTGATTTCTTCCCTCTTGGAGAAAGTGTCCCCATGCCTCTTTCTTTCCCATAGTGGGCCTGGACACTGATCCTGGTTCAGAAGAAATATCTTCAGGTGCTTGGGGACATAGACTTGGAGACTTTCCTAATTTCGTTGTACACAGCAGTGCCTCTGTGTGACCTCCACATTTACCTGATGGCTTTCACATTCAGCTCCTCTCTGTCTACTGGTCAGATTCACACTTGTGCAGGACACACTCATGCACAAGTAATGGTGCCTTCATCTGGTGCCCATCACTACCAGGAAATAAGGATCACACGATGCACACTATCCCTGTAACTTTGGGTAGGATACGTAGTAAATGATTTTCATGGTTGGACAAAAAAGTCACAAATTTTCATGACCTTCTCTGGACTAATTCAAGGCATTTCCTTCATCTTCCAGAGAGATATTTTAGAAGAAAATTGTAAAAGAATCTAAATTTAAGATGCATGCATTTGTTTGGGGATACGGTATGTATTTCGCTTAAATATCAAGTCAGCAGGCAGATTTTCAAGTGAAATTTCCAAATCAGCTAATGTTTTGTAGCCACAATTCAAGTACACAGATACTCAAGTTTTTGCTCTTTTCACAGGTGTGTGATGGTTATAAAAATGTACATACAAGATTTGGGGTCATAGATCTTCTTAGCAGAATTGTAAACCCTTATCACTCACAGGGGTTATTCATGCATCTGCATATATACCACTAAATCTTATGTATGGACACCCAAACACGTCCAGTATTATAGTTGGGTGAATTTATTTATTACATATTCTATACACAACATAGAGTATAGCACATTTGCATACTGGGTTCTCCATTAAGAAATATTGATTTGAAATATACGTACAGGATATACACATCTATTCAAATACAACATTCATAAATTTCAGTTTATCATATTGATTAAAAACAAACTTTACCCCCTTCTCCCATATATTGTTTTCTTTTTCCTTTTTTCTTATTTGTTTCATTTTCTTTCCTCGTCTAAATTTTCTCTCTCTTTTAACTAACAATAACCTTTCTGAAAGCCGCCCCTAAAGCACAGGCACTCACCGGCTGGTCCTGGCCAGGGCTGGCCTCTGCACTCTCCACCTCAGCCTCTCCCTTTGATGCTCTGGGCCCCAGTGTGGTCAAGGGCTGCAGCTTTACCCTGCTGCTCTTCCCGGAGCTACCGGCCACTGGCCCCAGCTGTGTTCTGGAGCGGCTCCTGTGCAGGGAATGGCAAGAGGCTTCAAGGGAAGACAGGGTTTTTCTTCTTTCTCTTTAAGATTGAGGGAGGGTTGGGGAGCAGTTTGCTCTCTCAGGACAAAGTGACCCCCTACTCAAGCAACCCCTCTATTAAGCGTGTTTAGAAGCTGGGTTCCAGGGCTGCAGACCTGTTTGCCCTCCTCCCTCCCATCGTGGTAGGTACCATTGTCTGGGAGAGAAAACATTTTTTGGGGAGGAGGGGAGGGTCCCAGGCCCTCAGAGAACCCAAACAAGGGGGCTCCCTCTCATTCAACCCTTTAATCATTTGCCTGAGCTGAAATTGAGCTCCAATTAGGGGCAGCAACGCTTTATGGAAAGCTCGTCCAGGATGGGACTCATTGCTTGGTGCATCTCCATCCCCACCTGGAGGGAAATGAGCTGGGGTCCAAACTCCAGGGCTTGGGTGCCAGTTCTTTCTTTTTGTTTCAGAGTCACCTCTCCTGAGAAGACTGAGACCCTCAAAACCTGTCATTTTGAAATTGATCCTATCCTCCAGCTTCTTTGTGAGCAAAGACTAAGCTCTGGTCTTAGGAAAGAGGTCTAGGTCTTCTTCTTCAGCACCCAGGAGCCACAAGAGGTTAGGGGCAACTCCCCAGACAGACAGCAACCGTCGAACCCAAAATCTGCCCGCTGAGACACTCCACCCTTGTAGGGCAAAAGCCCGGAGCCCACATGCTATTCTTCCTCTAACTTCCCTAAACTAAATGGCCCTCTTGAATTCTCCGTTGTTGCAAAGAAAGGCAATGACAAATCCAGGGCGGGGAATGGCAACCAGAAGGGCTGCAGTCGGAGTCCAGTGCTTGGGCCTTAAAAACAGCCTAGCACTGCGACTTTTTCATAAATAAAAAAAGTCCCCGCCCATAGTCCACATGTCCTTTTGGACCCCAATTTATATACTACAGAAAGCTGTATACTCAGCCTGTCATGCTTCATAACACCACTATTTATGGCAGGAAAGATTTTTTTTTCTGAAGAATATATTTAATACAGGTAAAGCCAACAGTAGGCTCCTTACAGCTGGCAAATCGAGAACAGGTGCTTTGACTTAACTGATTCATTCACTCTGCGTCCAGCTTTCTTGCTGAGTCCGAGTAGCTCCCTCGACTTTCCCATACATCCAACCGCTACTTAGAAGAATTTGCATCAGTTTTTTGTTTCCTCACTTGGGTCCCAAGGAAAAAGCAGATCTTCCCGCTGTTCCGTTTCGGATCTGCCAGGCTGTCGCCCTCAGAGAGCTGGGTTTGAAAAAGAGGGGGCTGGTTGGGCACTGGCATTGATCTTTAAAAAATCATTTTGAAATCGCCATAATGTGAAGAAATATGGCGCTTCATCCTCGTATTTCACACATAATGACACGAGATGGCTTCATTTGGGGGAAGAAAACCCAGTAGGAGGATATGCGTGTGCGGAGGTGATCTGCAGCTTTCTGCACGGCAGAGGGGTACATAGACAAAAAGATAAAATCTCAAATTAGAATGGCCCCGCTTTTGTTAAAATAATGGGGCAGGGGCAGCCTATCTTACAAGGACCCAGGGTCGGAGAATGATGAGAAAATCAGCCCTAGCCTGACCCTAAACCCAATCCAAGGAGAATCCGGTTTGTCCAAGGGCCGCCCGCCCTCCCTGAGTGCTCACAGCACAAGAAGTGACTGCACACAGGGCAGAAGCTGGAAGAGCAATGGCTGGGAGATGAGCCAGGAAGCCAGCCGGTGGCCTCAGGGGAGTCCCAGCACAGGGCCAGCAGAGTTGATACCAATAAAACAGGAGATTTGGAAGCTCCAGCAAGAGAGAGTCGCAGGAAGAAAAGCGGCGGGTGGGTGGCAGACTGACCCAGCAGGCTCTCTGTCTGTGCTGGTGTCCGACACTGGTATTTGAAAATCTTCCGAGCAGGGCAGGAGGGGCGAAAGTCTCCATCCTCACTGGGTGGAAGGGAAGATTACTTGGGACTCCTTCCCACACCTCTGCTCTGCTGACACTTTAGGGAAGTTCTCTTAACCCTTTGTCACATCCAGCTCCCTCATCTGGGCCATTCTAATGGCCTGGTCAGCTATTTAGTGGAGGAAAGGAGAAATGGCTGTGCCCCTCACCCCACTTCCCTCTGGCCAGGGCCAGAGAGAGGCCTGAGAAATTTAAAGGAGCTTTGGCTAGTTGTATTAAACTCTCAGAGACTCAACTTTCCAGGGCCTGACAAATCCCTTTAACTTCATGCAGATTCTAATGTTAGGATAGCTAAATTTTAAGACAGGATTTTTGGACATGTACCCCCCACTCCTCTTAAATTTCTCTTCTCTTTTCTCAGCTACTGAGGGGTCAAGAGAAGCTTCCAGGCCGGAAACTCTCTCCAAATAGTCACAAAGAGCCCCTTCAAAAGAGGATAACGTTGTAAAACCCCCCAACTTCTCGCCCCATCATTTCCAGTGGATTGCTGCTGCGCTGTTGTTTAATAAACATCTTGTGTCAAGGGGACAGAGACGAGGAAACGAGGGCCTGCAGGGTGGAGTGAAGGTGTGTTTGTGTGTGAGGTGGGGGGACAGAACCACTTCCTCTTTAATTATGCTGTGGCTGCTCACAGGCTGGGGCTCTCTCCCTCCCTCTGCCCTGCTCTCCCTCTCTCCCTCCTGGACCCGCCTGGGGAGAGGGCTTCACAGCCCGCGTCCCTCCCGAGGCAGCCTGCTGCTTTCCCTCCGCCTCTCCTCCGCCCCCGCCGCCCCATGGCGAGAACTGCGCCCCCCCTTCCTGCAAAAGGCGGGGGGACCGGGCGGCGGGCAGCTCAGGCTGAGGTTACGTGGCCGCCGGAGCCCTGACGTGATAGCACATTGCATCAGCATAAAACAATCCATCCTCGATATGGAATGCGGTGCGGACGGATGACAGCGAGAGCGCAGCCCCCTCACCGGATTGATTTATGTCGGAGCTGACGCTTTATCAGGCAGTCGGAAAAACTTTGACCAATCATTTTGCAAGGAGCGCTGAGCCGGGCTGCTCCACTGTACTTTGTTG